AGATTGTCCCTCCCTCTCCAGCAGAGCATCTGGTGGGTTCGAACCGTGCGCCTCTGGGATTCCAATGCAGCTTCCTGCCACCGTCCACTTTTTTAAAAAAATATTCCTTCCCTGTTGCACAACCCAGACCATTTCTATGTCTGAATCCCAGCCCACTCCCCACTCACCAGACAGAATTCGTCCTCGGATGGAGACGTTACCAGTGAAAGGACATTTCTTATCAATGTAGGTGCCCTCGATGGCCTGAAAGGAGAACAGAGAAGGCAGTGAGCCCCTGGACAGGTACACACGTGTGCCAGGCCTCAGGGACACAAGCTACAATTCCCAGGAGCCCCTGGGGGACACTGCCCAGCTGTAGACAGGGCTGCTTGGTCTGCACATAGGTGGAGGGCATCTTCCCAAGGGTCCTTTACCTCCTTGGGCGTCTTGAAGCCCAGACCGATGTTCTTGTAGTAACGTGGGAGCTTTTCTTTGCCGGTTTCACCCAACAGCACTCTCTTTTTGTTCTGGAAGATGGTGGGCTGCTTCTGGTAGGCGCGCTCGGTCTGCCAGGAGGAGGAGGAAATGGTAAGCGGGGCAGATAGCACCCATCTCTCCCACCCCAGCTTTCCAACGCTGATCCCCCCACTAATGCACACCCATACCTTGCACAATTAACCCGCGGAACCAAGGATCCATCTCCACTGCTTCGTGCCCCAACAATCATCATTTAAGGCACCCCTCTAATGCACACCTACACCTTCCACAATTAACCCGTGGAACCAAGGATCCATCTCCACTGCTCTGTATTCCAACCATCACTTAATCTGTCCAATCCATCATTCCTTCCTGCAGCATCACCACCAAAGCCCGAAATATATGCAAATTCCAAGCTCGCTTCGAAAACCTCATGCGAGTATATACTTAACGATCTAAGACACGTGTTACAGGGTGCAGCCCTTTAAACGCATCCCTTTAAAGGCAGACGGCACGAATGACCCTCTAACACCCAGGACACCTTCCGCCAAAGATTCTTTAGTCTCCAAAGCCCCCCGCTAGGTTGATCTAGGTATCAACCCCGATTTAACGTTAAACACTAAAAAATTCCCTATATTGGACCTTGCGGTCCAAATCTCTTAAGAATAATCAGCAAGGTCTGAGACCTCCAGAAAACCAACCTTTAACCTCGACCCTGCACCCGGCTCGGGCCCCCTAGGATCTCGGGGGCGCCCATCCAGACGCGTCTAAAAGCACGTGTCCCCCGCCAGCTAATGCCCAGAGAGTCAGGCCCTCCTGGGGCGAACCCCAAGAGGGAGCGCAAGGGTCTGGCTCTCTAAAAGGCGCCCCCGAGACGCGAGATGGACCATTCCCCCGCAACCGCAGCCCCGAGCCCGCACCTGGATGTCCGCCATCGTTCCGGTCGCTTGGAAAAAAAGAAAGTCTCAGCAGCTTCCGGGTTTCCTTATCCGCCGCGCACGGGCCCGAGAGGAAGTAACCTCAGAGGTCGCCACGGGTTTTGGGCGGTTCCTTTCCTGCGAGATTGATCTTGGTTGGCTGCAACCAACCAAGCGATTGGACGATCAGCGTATGAGCGATTGAATACTACTCTCGCGAGACTCGACCGCCATCATTGTTCTGGCTGCCACGGGGTTGCCTATGGGAAATATGGCTAAACGTGCCAAGGTATCGCGAGATATCTAAGGCGGCTGTCATGTTGGTGCGGGGCGTAGGATCTCGCGGGGGTTGAAAGGATTTGATCCTGCGCAGTTCAAGCTTTTCCTTTTTTTTTTTTTTGGAGCGCACGACCCAAGACCATGTGGCGTGCTGTCTTCGCGGGTGTTTGTTTGTTGTTGTTGTTTTTTTTTCCCCCAGGCACTTTCAAGATCATAGTTTATTATTTCAGATAAAAAGATAGTATACATACTAGGGAATCCCTTAAAATTTTACTCCAGAGTTATACACCATCTATTACTTTTTGCATTTAGGTTAACAAAAAAAAATCTCTAAACACCTAAAAAGTCTCACTATTAACATGAACTATGGTAATAAAAAATCTGATATTTAATTTGCTCAATGTATAGTATTTACATTATGAGAGCAATGAAGGTATGATAAACAATGATAAATAGTAAAAATATTAAAAAGCAAAGGTTTATATTCTTACAATGTGCTAATTGTCATAATTGTATATAAAAATTAAACCATAGCAGAGCTTTCTGTTATAAAAGTCTTAATCATCTGAGTTGTAGTCATTGCTAAGTAACAATTTACATGCAACATCTGCTAGGACTGACATATGATTTTTTTCCCCCCAGAAAAAATGAGAGTAGATAAAAGGCATTTAAGAGTAGACATTAATTTACTCGTGGACAAAAAAGCAAAAACTGTACTCAAGATTAGTAGTACTGGTCACAAGCCTCTTCCCTACAGAAATTATAAAAAAACCAGTATGACTTGGGAGGTGGGGAGGTGTCCAAAAGGAGATGCTCTTGCAGAGTACTGTGAATGGTGCAGCTCTGGACTCGAACAGGACAGCGAGAATCTCGGGACTGAGCACACACACCTCTCTCTCCTTCAACAGTAAGAGGTCCACTTTGCCACCAAATGGCAGTGACTGAAGTGAGGTGGGCACCAGGTATATAACTCATTAAATCCTGCAAATATTAAGCTGGGAGCATAGGTGGCCAGAAAATGGGGCAATTTATATATAAATCAAACTATATACAGCATAAGTGGAATGCAGTCCATCACAAACTGGCTTTGTGAAACAACTGGACCTTTATGATTGAATAGCTGAAAATTAAAACAAGTGTGATAATGTGGAAACTACAGAACAATTTCACTGATTTCACATGCAAGCAAGATTTTACTGAAGATTATCCAAAAAACGACTGGAACAGCACATCAGCAGAGAACTACCAAAAGTCCAGGCTGGGTTTAGAAGGGG